AGCATACCAGGCCCGAAAAACTCAATGTAGCTGCCCAGTTTCGAGGGCTGATTCAAAGCCCATAATCAGAGAAGTATGAATTGAGCACGTCTCGCCCGAAAAACTGAATGTATCTACCCAGTGTTGAGGGTTGATTCAAAGTCCGTAATTAGAGAAGTATGAATCGAGCACAGCTGACCCGAAAAAGTGAATGTATCTACCCAGTATTGAGGGTTGATTCAAAGTCCGTAATTAGAGAAGTATGAATCGAGCACATCTGGCCCGAAAAGCTGAATGTATCCGCCCAGTTTTGAGGGCTGATTCAAAGTTCATAATCAGAGAAGTATGAATAGGACACATCTAACCCGCAAAACTGAATGTATCTGCCCTGTTTTGAGAGCTGATTCAAAGTTCATAATCAGAGAGGTATGAATGGAGCACAACTGGCCCACAAAACTGAATGTATCTGCCCTGTTTTGAGGGATGATTCAAAGTCCATAATCAGAGAAGTATGAATCGAGCACATCTGGCCCAAAAAAACTGAATGCATCTGCTCTGTTTTGAGGGGAAATTCAGAACTCGTCTTCTTGGAAGTGCGCAGCGAGCATATCAAGTCAATAATCCGTATGCATTCGTCCTGTTTTAGAGGGCGAATTTGTATCTCATTCTCTGATAACTATAAAACGGCAGATTTGACGCTCGTCTTATAAGAAATGTGCTGCGGGCATTTCACACACAAAATTTGGATGTACTCGCCCGCTTTTGGGGGCTGATTCAGAGCTCGTTTTCTGAGAGGCAGGTTGCGGGCATATCACGCCCAATCTTTTAGGCGCACATGCCCCRCTTTTGAGGYCAGATTCGGAGTTCGTTCTCAGAGAAATATGCGGTACGCATATCATACCCAAAATCTGAATGCACTCAACCACCTTTGTGGACCGTCTTCAAAGCCCCTTTTCCTTCGAAGTATGCCGCGGACACGTCAAGCCCAAAAGAATCTGAATGTATTTGCCCGCTTTTGAGGATCGATTCAAAGCTCGTCTCCTAACGAAGCATGCTGCGGACATTTCATGCTAAAAAATCTGAATGTATTTGCCTGCTTTTAGGGGCCGTTTCAAAGCTCATTTCCAGCGAAGTATGCAGCGGCCATCTCTTGCACCAAAAAAAAATCTGAACGTATCTACACGATTTTGAGGGCCGATTCAAAGCTCGTCTCCTAACGAAGCATGCTGCGGGCATTTCATGCCCAAAAATCTGAATGTATTTGCCCGCTTTTAGGGGCTGTTTCAAAGCTCATACTCTGAAGAGTGTAAGTCGTACATAACTAGTACTCACCCAAAACTTGGTATCAGCCTCATTCGACGATAAAGTCTTACCAAATCAAATGAAGTCATCAGGAGTCAGACTCAGCCAGTGAACCTTCCACATGCGGTTACGATCAACGTGCGTTTGTTCCCTCCCTATTTACTGCTTGTAATCAGGTGGGTGAAACTCTGAACGGCAGCCGAGCAACTCGAGCCCTGACAAAGCTCTCGTAGCAAGCCGTTCCAGCACGCGCTCCTCTCTCCCGCTGTTCGCACTTCTTCAGTCATCATCAGGAGAGGGCTGCACACACCTGACCCGTCCCTGATTACTCCTCCATCCGCCTAGTTTCCCTTGCACATCGAGCACAACTCTTCCATTGACCCCTTCCCGAGGACTCGTGCGCTCATTCTCCGACTGTTCGTTCCATCCTCCCGTTCCGAACCGAGCTGCTGCGCGGCGGGGTACACATGGCAAGCTGTCTTCCCCCTCGTCTCACTGTCCCCCCGACTACCAACTGGTCCTCCCTATATGGGGAATGCTGCACTGGGCATGGGCCTCCGCCGACCAGAGGCCCTCGAGAGCACAGGTACACAGTCCAATATCGTGTGAATTACAATGGTACCAGCGCGCCCGCGGGAAAACAGCGGTACCAACCTGAAAAGCGGCAACAGTTCCAGCAAGTGTCAACAGGCCCACCCCGCTGTTTTCGCGTTAAACCAGAGAGTACTCAGGCCAACCAGGACCACTGCGGACTTGAGATAGCGAGGGGCATTAAAACTCGGTAGTGTCGTCAAGAGCCCGAGGCTCGTTACCAAACCAGAGGTCCGACATGATTTTGATTAATGTAGCCTGCGGTGCCAGTTCCGTATCATTGATCGAACCTGAGAAATAGGAACCGCCGCAAATTTGCTGCTCTGTTACCATCATGAGTGCCACCTACGATAGTATAGGAATATTCAAATCAGAAAGTACCATGATGTTCCCATGCCGTAACCGAGTCGGATCAGTATTCCGCGAATCGTACCAGATCAACGTAGTACTAGTGTAAAGGATAAAAATAATCGACCGGAGCCATAGTAACTCGTACCACGCCGTTGCCGAACCAACACCGAGTCTGAAGATAACGCAGCGGCGTGTACCACTCGAAAACCGACCCAATCTGAATCTGATGCATGTCGTTGCCCGGCCAATACTGAACATGAAATATGCCAAATGTCGTAGAACGTCTCAATCCCGTGTTAATATCGAATCGGAAATAACCAATCGGAGTCGCTGTGACCCATATTCCGCCGACGCCGGACCAATATTGAACCAACACCGAACCTGGGAACATGTTAAATACCGTATAATACCGTGGCCCAGTGACAACTCCAAACCTCTCTCGAACCAGACGTCCTAACCGGGGCAGCGGCCATACCGATGCTTTGAAGGCAGGTGGGATAATCAAAGCAATATGTCGATAACACCACGCCATCCATCCGCGCCGTACTCATAGCGCACAGGTTGTGGTGAGGCTAGAAATCGGGATAATCAGGTAAGTCCATTTAAGCAATCTCAATCATCGCCAAAATAGTTAAAATCGCCAGAAGTAAAGTAAATAAACAATCCGGGGCAAATCCGATCGCGAACAAATCGAACAAATTTACGTCAATCATCTAATAATCATGGTTTTCTTCCTTAATATCTTTTTTTTTTTTTTTTTTCTCATTTCCTAATTCTTTTATCGAAAACAACAGAAATAGAGACAATCTTGCCAAAAATAAATTCCGATGGCATTCAATGAAACGTCGAAAATTCTTTGTTTTCCTTTTTTTTTTTTTTTTTTGAATCTTTTTCATACATTTGATTCTATTATCTAAAATGTCGATAATTGAGGGCGACCCTATTAAAATTCAAATACCGGAGAATTTGAATAAATTGGAAAATATCCCGTTTTTCTCTGCTCTTTTGTTGTCTTTAATTCTTTCGCCCAGTTTTAATTTTAATATTAAATTTAATTAAATGTGGGCCCCCCCTCCTAACATCTGTTGGACACCGTAAAAGGGCCTCGTCAAGGCCCACACTCAATTCATTGTCCTGCGGCCGGTCGTTCTGGGAACGACCCGGAATCGGTGGAAAAGAGGTGGACCTCAGCGCGGCGGAAAAAGTAGCCCCTCTCGTCTATTTCTACGGCTGACCCTGACGGTTGACGCACCCAAAATTAGGGATGACCTGACTACCCCTATTTCTCCCAACCGGTCGGATGAAAATGTCGACCGATTCCTTCTTAGACAAGTTTTCTACAGGTCAATCTCCTGGTATTAGGGCGACCGACTGGTCCTCGGTCGCTCGACAAACAAGCCCGGACCTCCTCTCGACGCCCCTGTCGAGCCCGCTCCGCCAAGATTAGACGAAACGCACCAGGTCTAAGTGGACCACTCGTGCTCTGCGCAAGTGCCTCCTCTTGTCTGTCTGCCGTCTGGTTTTCTCAGAAACTCGGGGGCTGAGAGGGTGCTCCTTCCCTCTCTTATGTCGCCGTCGTTTGGGCTTCGTCACAACAACATTCCTCCGCTTCCTCGTTCTTTGGGAAGACCGTGCGTCAACTGCGCCACCCTTCCTAATGCGGACTCTCACCTACATTTCTTTCTCTTGCCCACGGCTAAGCCTTTCACTTTCCTGGTCTCCACCCTCTTTCTCTTCTTCGAACTCTCACCTACCTCGAACCGCCTTGACGGTCCTCCGTTCGTTATTTTAGCTTTATTCTTTCCTTTAGGATCTTATGGTCTCGGAGCAGGACTAGGAATCTCCCTTGATCTAAACAACTTCAGTCTAGCTCCCGCCACTGGAACCTTCCACTTTGACCCATCTAGCTCAACAATCATATAGGCTCCCCAACTTAATGCACCAACCACACGATAGGGCCCCATCCATCGATTAGCCAGTTTCCCAGTCCATGTCCTTTTCAAAGCGGCGTCGTAGAGGAGCACCATGTCGCCAACCTTCATCTTTTCCTTTCTGATTCTAACGTCTTTGTCCCATCTCATTTTGTTCTTTTCTCTTTTTACTGCTAGTCGATCGGCCGCGGTCATGAGATTGTCTTTCAGTCCGTAAGCTATCTGCCTAGTCCGGGCTGCCAGTAATTCCTCTCGTGTCATGTTATCTGCCCAGTTAACCGTGGTCCAACTGTCAACATGAACCTCAATAGGCAGGGGACAGTGCCTTCCAAACCATAGAGTGTAAGGAGGGTAGCCCGTACTAGCTCGGACAGTGACATTGTCCTCCCATATCGCGTACTTGAAATACTTCGGCCAGTCGCTATCCTTTTGTCTACACCACTTGGATAAGGACGCAATCAGTGACTGGTGACCTCGCTCTACAGGTGCATTTGACTGAGGGTGACAGGCGGTAGCAATAGATACTCTGGCTCCAACTCTCTTGAATACGCTCAGTACCTCGTCTGCTAGAAACTTTGCTCCTCTATCCATCACAATCTTACTAACACATCCGTATCTAGACAGATAATCAAGGACGAAGTTCTTAACTTCTCTTGCTGCTTTCATCCTGATAGACGTACCATCGACGAAGCCAGTGAAATCATCCCTGATGTTGACTACATACTTCATATTCCCTACACCCTTTGGCATTTTAACCAGATCAATATGCACTTTCTCCACTGGTCTAGTGAGATAAGAAGGGTGAAGTGGTTCCTTATACCTAATAAGGGACCTCTTCTGGCAGTCCTCACAAGTCTCGCAGTACTTTTCAACGTCCTTGTACTATTCTTCCCACCAGTATAGCCGGCGAACCTTCTCATACGTACCTTTCACTCCTCTATGTCCCCCAACCACCCCGTCATGTAGCTCTGCTACTATGGACTGTTTCTCCTCTGGATCGCAGACTACCCGAAGAGGCATCCCAGCTCCCACAGGTTGTCGGAACAGATGCCCAACTCTAAGGCAATACTGTGCTGCCTGTCTCATGATCTCCGATTCGGAACTCTCCACGCCCGATAGGTGCAATCCTATAGTGCGGTATTTACCTTCATAAAGATTTACTAGGAAACGATCCGTTCGTCTAAGCTCGGTCATAGTTAGTGCAGCAACCGATATTCGTCGCTCTGCCTCGATGGGAATTCGTGAAAGTCCATCGGCTACAGCGTTCTTCGCCTCGGAAATCCTCTCTACAGTATAATCATAAAGTCGAATCCTGATCAGCCATAGCGCAATCGTAGGATCCGTCAAACTGAAATCCTTCTGTAGGACTGATGCTACAGCCGTAGGGTCTACCCTAAGAACAAATCGTCTCCCGTATATGTAATGCCTGAAGGTATCTAAGCACCGTAGAACAGCTAACACTTCCTTCTTAAATTGAGTGTAATTACGTTCTGCAGTATTGAGTGTTCGGCTCTCGAACCTCAATGGTCTTTCCTTGCCGTCAGCGTCCTTTTGAGAGAGCAATCCCCCAACCGAACACGGCCCAGCATCCGTAGATACTATGAACGGTCTGTCTGTCTCGTCCTCAAAGAATGGCACACCTAGAATTCGGCCGCCTTCCTTAAACTCTTCCTTGAGGGATTGCACTCCAAGCTCTTGAGAAAAATCCCAGTAGAACTTCTCAGTCTTCCTAAGAAGTGTGCGCAGAGGCTCTGCCTTCTCCGCATATCCGCGTATGAAGATCTGCCAATAACCAACAACACCTAAAAACTGGCGAACTTCAGTTGCACCGTGCAATGGAGTCGGCCAATTCAACAACTTCTCCAGCTTCCCAGGGTCGGGGCGTCGGCCTTTCGCATCGCATATAAACACTAGAATTTTAATCGTCGATACGACCCATCGACTCTTTGTCCCGCTAACCGTCAGGTTAGCTTCATCTTGTTGTTCCAAAATAGCGTAAATGTCCGTCATGTGTTGCTCTACGAACCTCCTGACTCCAGGAGCGACTTCCGTCTCATCTTTCAACACCGGTCCTTTTATCGGAAAGTCGTCCAGGAAAACTTCTACTTTATCTGGGATAAAGTCTTTCAGAACCGCTACCATGGCTCTTTGAAAGACCGCTACCCCATTGGTCCATCCCATCGGAACGACCATCATCTGCACTAATCCGAGCGGCGTGTGCATGGCTGTGAGATGCCTATCTCTCGGATCTAGTGGTATCTCGTCATATCCTGAAAATAAATCAGAGACATAATAAATGGATCTGCCTGCCGCTCTCTCTGCTAGTAGATCAGCAAGAGGTACGGAGCCAACATCTCGAATTGCTACCGCATTTACCTTCTGAAGGTCTTGAATCCACCGAATCTTTTCGTTAGGCTTCCTTAAGAAGAACCATCTATTCGCGTACGTGCTATCACATGGTTCAACTACGTGAGATGTCATCTTCTCTTTGAGAAGGGAGATCACCTCTTCCTTCTCTTTCTGAGCAAACTTCCACCCTGCGTCATTCCACAGCGTATGCGGAATCATGTAGATTCTTGCCGGCTTAGCACATCTAGGATCAATCCTTCCTCTCTCCGCATCACTGAATGTTATGGCTTTGTCGCAAGACTTAAGGACTTCCAACACTCGCTCTTTCTCCGGTTGAGTTAGATTCTCATCGCCTATGTCCATCTCCGCTATCCTCTTTTCTGTCAGCCGTTGCGGCTCCTTCCTCTTCTTTTCTTTAATCTCTCTAACGATCTCTTCTTCAGATAATCCATCCAACGCGGATCGCTCTCGTGCTACAGCCGCCGGCTTAACCTTCTGAGCTACTGTCTTGTGTTTCTTTGGTCGCCCCCCGTAGGGGGCTGTGCCCTTAAAAAAAACACAAATATCATCCCTTCGAATTCCTCATCATCTGCCTTACGATAGGCGTTCCTTCATACACGTACCCGAGTCCCTAAATCTTCGACTTCGACTATCTGACCTTCTTCTTCTGTAAGCAGAGGTCCATACTTCTTTTCGCGAAAGATTAGTGATCGACTCGCAAGGGCAACTGGTACACGGCTCCCTGCGGCGAGAACCGCTCTATTCCTCGGATCCCGAGGCTCTACCGTCTCCATCATGATCCGCCCACCATCTGGACGCTTGATGGAAAGCATATGGCTTCCATCCGGCCGTTCTATAGTAACAGCATGGACGTGACTTAGCCATGTCCGTCCCAATAATAACTCTGCGCTGCAATCCCGAACTGCGAAAACGGGCATCGTCACTCTCAGTCCTTCGACCTCGATTGTTGCCTTGTGACAAACTCCAGCGACCCTCTGCTTCCTCCCATCAGCGGTATCTATCTCAAATTGGTACGACCTATACAGGTCTAATCCCGATCGAACCGCCAGGGCCTCGTCTATAATGACAGCCTTGCTTCCGTTATCGATTACGGCATGAATAGCACCTCGTCGTTGAGGGTAGTCTGTACTGGCCCGCTGCCTAGGATATAAAACTCGTCATGAGGCACTCCCTCTATCCCATCTAAGAACACCGTCGCAGCACGATCTGCCTTCGCGACCACACTAGATACCGCTACTGAGGGTATCTTCTCCTGTTTGGTTGTCATCTGGACTTCGTCGCTCAGAGGAATACGCGTTTTGCGCGTAATCATCTGCAGCTCATCCCGCGCTGGTCTCGAGGCTGCCAAGTACTCTAGGATCGTGCACTGCATAGGCTGCCTGAGAGCGCGTCTAAGGGGTTCGACCGTGTCTATGTCATCCAGGGTACTCTTCATCGTGAACTTTCTGGCCCCACGCTTGCGTGGGGAAAGTATAACTTCTTCTCCTTCAATCCTCTGTCCATCATTTTCTGCCATTACGTAATCAGTGTCAGCCTTCTTAGAGGAGGAAGCCCTGGCGGACTTAGTCGCTGCCACCCGTATGGGTGTCATAGGACTCTCCTCATCAGACGACAGACTCAGTCTCACGCTTTGGGTTCTTACAACCCCTTTACCCTTGTTCGGTACTACTCGCCTAGCCTCCACGTTTTCCTTCATTGAAGGAAACATCGATACATCGCCGAGGTTATCTGCCTACTTGACGTACTTGCGATCATCAAGTACGACAAGCCCCTCATCTATTCCCCGTTTGAGGTCAGGGCAGTCTCTCTTGAGGTGATCATCTCCCCTGCAATAGATGCAGGAGTTCCTAGGGGTAGGGGTTCGTTCTTCCGCCGACTTAATCGCCGGTCGTCTCGCATCCTGGTTAGATGGCCCAGGAGATCTAGGGTAGTTTGGGGACTTGGGATACCCTGGCGACGCAGGATATCCTCCTCTCTCATGCTGTCTGCGTGGCACTTCCCTACGATCACCACCTCTCTTACTCCGCTCGTATCCGCTTCGATATCCATCTCGGCGGTCCCTATCCGACTCCCATCGACCGCGGGAGTCCTCTCTATCCCTCGAGTTAAAGTTGTCCAGGCTCCGGTACCCTTCGGCACCCCCACCGTATCTGGGACTGTGCGGGTACTGGTCTCTGGGACTGTGCGGATACTGCTCGGCTCTGTCTCCTCGACCGTAAGAATCTCCCCCTCGATACCCATCACGCCGCCGGTCTCGGTCTATATTATCATCCCTGCACCTCCGCTCTTCGTCCTCTCTACGTTTTCGATCGTCTTCTTCTCTGCGCCTTCGATCCTCCTCGTCCCTACGTCTACGATCCTCCTCGTCTCTTCGTCTCTGTTCATCTTCATCTCTTTCCCTCGCGCGATAATCAGCTAACGTGCGAGGGTTAAGGTGTTCGACGCTCCTCCACGGGTCGGTATTCCGACGATCCCATCGCAGAGAGTAGGGGGATCCAGGCTTGTCCCGGTACGTGGTTCCGACCTTTGTTTCGAAATTTGCTATTTGCCTAGTCATTTCCTTCATCTTCTCTTGCATCTCCTCTATTACTGCGTCGTTATCCCCTGACCGATGACATTTGTCCCAATCCATCAAATATCGTCGTCCCGCCTAAGGTTTGTCGTTGAAATCGGGGCATCTATCAGTCCCATACTCCTTATAAAAGGAATAATCCTCTCGCTACATGCCTCGCCAGAGCAAATCCTTATAGTCATCGGCTTCCGCTTTCATGGCGAGCTTAAGTAACGCGGTGAATTCCAACTTATCGTGAGGCGTCTCCCTCAGTACCGCCTTCCGCTTCCCCCTTGGCAGTTTACTGAGAAAGATAGTGCATCTCTCTACTTCCGATAACTTTCCCCTTGTCATGAGGGCAACGGACACCTTTTGAAAGCGCATACCAAATGCTTGGACACTCTCGCCCTCTCTCGGGGTTAACGCCCTCAAATCCTGGATCGAATATTTGACGTCTTCTAACTTGAAAAGCTCATAAAAGTTGATCTTATACGTAGACCACCTCTTGTCCCTAGGTCGGGCTTCCTTTATAACCCGGCTCAGACTTGGGTCGACGTTAAACAAGAGGTTATCTATAATCTCGCCCTCAGTCCACTGACTTCGATAGGCATGCAACTCCCACTTCTCAAGGTATTCTGTGATACCACATCCCGAGAAAACGGGATGCCTGAAATCTAATTCCGAGGGCTGATGCGAGATGATGACTCTGTCCCTCGCCTCATATGGCAGAGGGTGCGATTCCCCCGTCTCGGGATCAAAAACCCGTCTGGCCATAGCAACTCTCTCTCTATCTCTCCAGAGCTGCTCTCTAATAAATTGATCTCTCCAGTCTTCCCCTCCTAGATAGCCTTTATCTTCTCTACGCTCGTACATAGACGGGCGTTGAATAAACGATTCGCGTCGAAAACTCGGAGGCTCCATCTGTATGTCCGGTCGCTCTAACGGCGCAGCCCTGTTGGGCTCGGTAAAAGCAGGAGGTGCCATTACCTCGGGTTCCCCGTCGTTCTGCTGCTCCACACACCTCAGAGGGGCATTCTGTTGAAGATGCTCCTTGAGGTCTCGCAGGGCCCGATCCGGGGACGCTCGATATACCGCCTGTTCCTCGTCCGGCCCCATTGTATCAGATTCCATACACTTTCCCCTTCCTGATTTGCCAAGTCAGCACCGACACCCTGGACCTGTGAATGAATCCACAGTCCAGACCTATGAAAGAATCCGCAGCCCGGACCTATGAAAGTATCCGCAGCCCGGACCTATGAAAGAATCCGCAGCCCGGACCTATGAAAGAATCCGCAGCCCGGACCTATGAAAGTATCGCAGCCCGGACCTATGAAAGAATCCGGAGCCCGGACCTATGAAAGAATCCGCAGCCCGGACCTATGAAAGAAAAACAATCACTCGTATACGACCGCTCTCAGGATCGCAACAAGTCTCCTAGCCTCGTCTCGCATCTCGTGCTCACCCTCGATACCTAAAATCCCTGAGTCAAAATTTTTCCCTCCTGCTCTTCTATGCAACGAACACCTCTCCTAATCTCTATGATCGCGCGCTACAACAAACTCTCCACTAATGTGCAAGCGGGGTCTCCTGTGAAAGAGGGTCAGCGGGTCCTGCCTGTCGTCCGTACCGAAGGCCTCGACCTCCGCCTGCAACAGTCGCTCTCTCCCGACGTGGCAAGACTCAAGACAACCCCTTTGGCTGTCTCCGAATCCAGGTATAAATGCCCTCGCACTTAACCTCTCTCGAGAGTGCTATGGATCTCCCTACGCAACCACAACCAAGCACCTGGGGACACGATGATGGATCTCCAACTAACCTGTCCGTCGTCCCACGCGGTCGGTTGGGACGGGAGCGTGAACTCCACTAGGCCTCCCTCTATGAGTTCCGGGGGCTCTATTTCCCACGCACGGCCGGCTTCGTATGCCTCTATGGCTTCGGATGGCATCATTCGAGTTGCTGCCGGGTGTAGGGGTAGTCCTATCGCGCCTGAAAAGGGGTATAATCCTAATAAAATTTTGGCAGCGCTCCGCCTCCCCCTGTAGGGATGGTGTTTGGGAGGTGATCCCTAAGTAAGCGCTACCTAGCTACGTCCTAACTGACGTCTGACATCTATAAGGCAGAATCCCTGGCTTGAATTGAGCTAACGAGCCTCCTATTCAAGTTCCCTCGAATAGTAGGCACGTGCACAATTCGAGAGAAACCTTCTCTCGCGCTCCCGTGCGCTCTCTCCGCCTGCAAGGGTTGCCAACAACTTAAGAACCTACGAAATACTAAACTGGAACTCTTTCCCCGAATTTTCCGAACTGTTTTTGATTTTTTAAAAATTTTAATAATTTAATTTAACAAAAATTCAGAATTCGCCTCAAAATTTTAGGTACTTTGGTTCTAGAATTCAAGGATGGTTAAAAAATGCCAGAGGGAATCATTTTCGAATTTCCCTCGATTTCTCGATCTTTCCAAGGATTTTTACTGAATTTTTCAAAAAATAATTCGCAAAAATACAATAAGAACCAGAGACCCGACCTTTAGAGAACTTGATTTCTTTACCCTTGGCAACTCCCCTTTTGTCTTTCTTCCGTATCTCTACCCTTTTCTAGAATTTTCTATATTTATCAAAATTTAATTAGACAATTTTTTAAAGAAGGTAGAAATAATTCTTCTTTTTAGTCCCTCCCCGTTAAGAGAGGTTTCTCCTATTAGTACCTCTGTTCCCTTGATTTATTTTTAATTAAGTAATTTTTACGAATTTAGAAAAATTTTGGCAGCACTTCGCCTCCCCCCGTTGGGATGGGGTTCGGGCGAAGCCCTCAACAAACACTAAGAGATGCAGAAAATAATATAAAAGATATAAACGTATTTTACGAATGTTTAAATTATTTTTAATAATTTTTATCCTTTTAAATAACAGTATATTCAAACATTTGACAAAATTTTTAAAATTTTCTGCAGCGATCTGTCTTCCCACGCGGGGATGAAATCTGGGGCAGTCGTCCCTTAATCCACTGTCCGAAGAACCCGAAAAAGCAAATTTTAAACAATTATAAATAAAAAATTTGCTATTTTTAATCAATTCTCATTAATTTTTATCGATAAATATTTAAAATTATAGAGAAATACAAGGTTTTAAGCTTTCGCAATCATTTAGTTTTACTATAATCCTTGGGGTTGCATTCGCCCCCTAGACCCTTAGTTAGGGTTTCACCCGACTAAGGTTTCCCCTAATTAGGGTTTCCCTAATTAGGGTTTAAGTTTCTTGCGCGCGTTCGCGCGCCCACCACAACCCCCGCTTATCTTAGGGAAATTTTTGTTGAACCCCTATGAACTCTAAAGGAAATCCTATCGGATTACTTTTGGTTAATTTGCTTTGTTCTAATTTTAAATAAAATTACAAAAAAAAAAATCAATTATTCCTTTGTTTTTCTTTCTTTTCTTATCTGTTCGTCCCTGCCGTCAACCCAAACATCGTTCGTTTTTCCCGCTCAATATCTCAAAATGTCGGGAAAAAAAACAAGGACCAACTTTGGTCCCGGCGGGTTTCTCCAGATTTCTCTTCTTCCAACAGAAAATTAATAAAAACCAAAATTCGTTATTCTTGAATTTAAAATTAAAAAATTACAAAAAAATCAATATCTGTCCCTTTCACCGTTAGAATTTCTCGAAAAACATACCAAAATGTTCGCCTCGTCGAGAGGACAAACTTTGTTCCCGACGAAGTTTTAGCGAAAACGCGCGGATGATGAAATATTCGAAAAAAACTGAATTTAAAATTAATAAAAATTAAAAAATATCCACTAATCAAACTAATTAAAACTGATCACCTCATAGTTAATCAATCAGGGCACCCCCGTTAATTGAGGAAGGCCGAGGCCTAAGGGGTGCTGTTCCCATCCCCGGCAACGACGCCAATGTTGTGAGGAAACCCGGGTAGGGGCCCCTACTGTTCGTTGAAGCCAAGGGGTACAGTGCCTGTCACTTCAGTGCCCTCGCTTCGGAGGTCCTCAGCAAACAGCCAGGTGAACTTGGTTCGTAATGTCCGTCTATCGTGCACCTATACAAGACTCTTATTCACTGTGTTCAGCTAACATAGTAACACAAGAGAGCAAGACCCTATTCACTGTGGTCAGTGAACACTACAGTCAGTGCAAGCAAAATGCCCTTTCTGTGACCAGCAAATACGGCAACAAGAGTAACCAAGTTCCTGTTCGCTGTGATCAGCGAACACATCAACAACTGAAAACGAGACTCGATTCACTGTTTTTTTTAAGCGCACCAATAATTCAAGACACGGCTCAATTCGTAGAGTCTACAGGAAATCCCACAAATCGAAACAATCAACTTTTTCCCTCGTTTGGTGAGCTTCTGTTTTCTCACCCCTGCCCATTTACCTCATTTCTCTCCCCCCTTCACTCTCTCTCTGCACTCATTCTCATATAGTTCCCCACTCACTCACACACGCTTTCACAACCTTCCTTTCGCGCTCGAACGACCACATAGTCTGTCCCTCTCTTTCTGTTCCTATCTTGTTTGACCTTTCTTTCTGTTCCCCCTTCGCTGTTCTCTCTCCCTCGCTGTTGTTCTCTCCCTCGCTGTTGTTCTCTCCCTCGATGTTGATATGTTTGTCCTTTCCCCGAAGGCGCGTTCAATGCCCTTGACAGACTCAGCAGTGTTCAAGAAAAGATGACCGCCTTAGTCAGAGAGAACAAGGAGAGAAAAGAGCGCAAAAAGCAGGCGAAGCTAAAGGCTATCGCTGATGAGCAGGCGGCGAAGATGAAGAGGTTGGAGAAGGAGATGAAGAGGATACAACAGGAGGAAGAAAGAAGGAAGGCTACTGAAGCAGAAGCGGCAGAAGAAGAAGAAGAGAAATAGAGAATGAGAATTGAGAGTAGAGAAAGGAGCAGTGGTGGCGCGATGAAGTGGGAGACAAATACTGAGCTGGAGAAGAAGATCATCGAGTGAGTCGCTAATTTATCGTTGGGGGAAGACGAGGAGGCGGAGTCCTATGTGACTAAGGATGAGAAGGCTGCGCTGGCCGCTGAGCTAGCAGCCATGACAGACCCAATGGAACGAAGAGAGAGGGAAGACGAGCAAAAGTTAGCATGGAAGTTGAGAATGAAGAGGGAGAARAARAGRAGGAGRGAGGAAGTGAAYAAGATGACCGYMGCAGTGGCAA